AAAAAAAAAAAAAAAAAAAAACGAGCGTATCCTTAGGATCTCCGACGGAAATGTATACCCACACACTGTTTTTCGAGTAATCGTTTCGCAATCGCCCAGTTTCCCATCTAGTTGAGAAAACCCACTCTTCAAATCGTCGGCCCTCGAAACAGTATATCCGGGATCGAAATCGACGCACTTTAGTAGTTTTTACGTAGACTTACCAGGGGGGGACTTGCCCCCTTTCCCCCGCGATTTCACGAGCGACGAAGGAGCAACGTACGTGTATTTTAAGCCTGTGTGTGTTGTTACACCAAAACACCAACCGCGCGTCTTAAACGATTACACACGTCTGATTACACACGTTACAAGCACACGTCTGATTAAACACGTTACAACGCGAGTTCTCGCAACGATTGTCCCAAAGATTGTGCATTTCCGCAACGTCTAAGTTCGGATACGAATTCCTCTCCCTATAGTCCCTGATCGGTGTGTGTGTCTGTGTGTATGTCGTAAATAAATAAAATAAAATAAAATAAATAAATAAATAAATAAAAACGCACACGAACGATTTTCACACTCGGAAAAATTTTTCGACGAAACGACGACGATTTGAATTTTATTTTACACACGGTAAATACACACGGTAATAATATAACATTGTCGCAATTGCGAAGACAGAAAAAAACTGCATGTTTGTCGATGTCGTTGAGTACGTGGAGGACTGTACTATAAAAGAAGACTTAAAAATAAAGTTATTCTCGATTGAACGGTACGGATGCTTGTGTCTTGTCTTTCATTTAACTGTGTGCGGCACGGCACACAGTTTACAGGGCGAAATCTCAACAACACCATCGCCAACCCAATTTCTCAAGGAAATTCTTTTTTTAATTCAACTGCTTGCGCATGTACCGCTTGTATACGCCACATACAATTGCGTTGATTTTTTTTTCAATTTCGCTATGTTTCAATACGATTATAATCGGCACGCGGTAATCATCCTCACTACTTCCTTTGTGGGTAAGTGCCCGTAAAAACACAAAACACAACGACATAAAAAATATACTTAATAATACTGACACGTGACTATCATAAGTGTATAAATTTTTTTCTCGTAGCTTCTACTTAGTCTCGTGACTCTTTTGTCTGTTTATCGCGCTTTTGCTTTCGAACTTTTCGCTGGCGATCGCGAGCGGACCCACCGCTCCGGGCTTCAACACCTGATGATTCGGCGTGGCCCCGAGTGCGCCTCCGCCCCGTTGCGCGGCGTCGTACAGCTGCTTCTGCATCACAGCCAGAGAGACCTTGTTGGTGGAGAGAAGGTCCTTCATGCAGATCATCTCGCCGGACATTCTGCGCGGCGTCTCCGAGCTGTCCTCCGCCCTGATCGAGTCCTTGCCGACGAGACGCGTCGGTCTTCTTTTCGAGTAGTATATTGTCGACACCGAGGACTGTTTTCTTGGCAAGTACGGCGCCGCCACGTCCCGCTTGCCGTATTGCAGCTTGTGTATCACGTAATTGAGGCCCTGCTTTATCACGATTGATGTGACGTTCATCAACGAGTATATGCAGCAACATCCCATCACCAGGAAGACGAAGTTTGCGAATCTGTACCTGTACAAACACACATGCGAATCTCTCCGCTTGCTCTCGAAGTTTTATTTGCAAATTCTTTAATTTTTTTCGTAGTCTTGCGCGAATTTAGAATCATCATCAGCGCTTAGTTAAAGAAAGACTTCGTCGAAGGATCTATCATTCGAACACGGAATTTTTCTGACGTAGAAAATCCGCGAAATTTTAACTGCGCGATTAAATAAACTCGAGTTTAATTTTGCCGATTTTATGAAAATAAAATTACGACGCAACGTACCAATGTACGTGGGGATAGCTCGGTTTCTCCGTGCTGACGAAGTCACCGAAGCCGATGGTGGTGAAGCTGACGAATGCGAAGTACAATCCGTCAAAGTAATCCCAGCCTTCCAGTGACGCGTAAAGCGCGGCGGCGCAACAGGCAATGATGCAGGATGTCGTGGACAAGTAGAGCATGACCCAATACACGCTAGGTTTCCATTGGTCCAGGTCCATATGATCGTCGTCATCGAGGATATCAGGCAAGGACGGATGTTGGGCGTTCGACGACTTGGAAACTCGGCGTGACACCAACGTCGACCTGCGAAGACGCCTTCTCAGACGATATACGTGCCAGTTGCGCAAAACCCATGCCAGAAGAGTGATAATTCTCTCGAGGAAGAGATTGAAGAACAGGATGCCACCTGCGCCATTTGTTTTTGATTGAAGTTCTCAATTGTTTCTTTATTAAATAACATTAGGACTACGTTACACGTTTAAATTTATATAGGTAAAAGTTTTCACAACAAAATATAAGTTTTTTTTTTTTTTTAAAAGAAGATTATTTTAATTGTGCGAAAAAAACGAGAGATTTTCTAAAAAAAATTTTTGTTTAAATAATTATTCTTTCAGATTTGTGTTAAAACGAGTTATATTTACCGGAACAACCGAAGAAGCCGTAGAGAACAACGGCCGCTTTGCCCGCGGTCGTTTGAGGCGCGGTGCTTCCGTATCCTGAAAAATAACTTTGATATCACGCTTCTTTCATTAAAGGAGCATTATTGTGCCACGACACTATATTTAGAGATCGGCGACCAAGGGACAGCTAACCCCGGGTGGGAATAAGTGTGAGACTAGGTCGTGGGATATTAGCATTCCGGAATTTGCCGGTACATTCTCGTGCCGGCCGACGACCCTTATTCCTTTATTTAACATCATTACGACCAAGTTTTACAGAAGAATGCGATCGTCGACAACTTTTCTCAATCACACGCGCGCGCGCGAGATAGAACGCGGTATAACAATTTTTGTTCTCGAAGTTTATTTATTTATTTTATTTTTTTTTTTTTAAGAAAAAAATTCTAAAGTTACAATTTGTCTCATTTCATAGATTTTTTTTTTTTTTTTATGCTGTAACACTTGCACGACAATTCTCGAGCGAAAATAAAGTTTCTCTCGCACATACGTCAGGATGTAGAAAATATACAATCAGTCTGAAAAGGTCAATCGTCGTTTCGCGATTTCTCGGGGAACGGGAAACAAAACCGAGCACGGAAACCTAGAGCGTGCGACACAAATCCCACTGACCCCGATATAATTCCCCCCTGGTCGCGGATGAGTAGCAACTATGGTATTCCGAATACGGCGTTACGCGGTAAAGTTCTTACCGATCGTAGTAACTATGGTGCCCACAAAGTGAAAGCTACCGGAAAAGTCCCAGCGGCGTCTCTTGTTGATGATGCCGGTTGCGGAAGCGTTGCCGTACGCGTAGAGCAGCTCGTGCAACCTCTGCAGAGCCAACGGACTGCCGCGCAGATGATGCCTTCGAAACGCGTGATATACTCGCCAGAATTCCGCGGCCTATGTGTGTCCAATTAAAAACTCAACAAAATCAGTTGATAATCCAGTTTTTTGTTTTTTTTTTAAGTAAATATCAATCTTTCGATTATTCGTGGATTCACACGGGGGAGAAGAATGTGTACTCTGAATCATTGATCACAAGTTACAGAAATATGCGCGATTCATCGATTCGGTGACTAAATATTAAATGAAATGTCTCTCTCTCATAAAATAACGTGACACTTTTGCACTTAAAACTCGTGTTTTTAATTATCTTAGAATTTTAAACACAAAATAGTTTTTTTTTTTTTTTAATATCTATTTTTTTACACAAAAGAATTTTACGTATACAATAAATTAAAAATCAAAAATATTGCGAGAGTACGCACAGTACGCGCGCGGTGTCCGATACCTGTCGTATCTCAAGATCGCTCTCTAGCCTCTGGAAGAGGGCCGCGCCTGCGAGCATGTAAGCTGCCAGGACAACGGCGAGGAAGATAATCCTGGCGTTGTCGTCCGCGAGGCCTCCGCACAAGCACATCACCGGCGACTCATCTTCCGGACAGCCGGCGTCTGCTGCACGCGATCCCCCCACCGCTGTCGCCGCTTTTCATCTCGTGGCGGCGCAAACTCGGCGGTTGAGAAGAGGATACTCAAAATACAAGGACGCAAGAGGAGTGCGATTCAAAAAAAGAAAAAAAAAAAAGAACGCTTCCTCTTTAAAAATAAACGCCGTGCGTTTTCTCTTCCTCATCGATGATGATCGCTCGCGCAATATCTTTAATTAAAAACAATTCGATCTTTCGCGCAAAGTGACAACCAAAATACGAGAAATAAATCCCGCGCGTAAAAATCACCCTTTCGCGGAATTACGTTAGAACGCTCGGAGTTCTCGAAGCTTCTAAATTTGCGCGCGTGAATCCGATAAGCGTCGGGGAAATAAAATCGATCCGAAGCTCGGATTGGAAAATATCCTAATTGCCTCGCATTGATGACACGACAGGGGTGTACAGAAGACCGAGATATGTGTGCGGGGCAATCTAACGCCGGTGCCCATTGAGAGCAAATCCTTTGACGAGTTAAAAATAGAAGTACAAACAAGCCGTTCTGCGTATTCAACGCGTGAATTCCGTACGAGGGGATGTCTTTTCGTGAAAAGCGACTTTAAGTAAACGCGGCGGATAATTAGCCAGCGGAATACGGAAGGCGGATGCCAAATTGTGACCTTACGCGACGCTGATTAAAAAAAGCCGAATCAGATATTTCGAAAAAAAACTCCTTCCGAGCGAGAGAATCTGTAAATCTAAATTTTTCTCCAACCTTCACATTTTTATATTAGAACGTCGACTTGTTTTTATTTATACGGGATACGTGGTTTTTGACGGGAAAGATTTAAAAAAATGGAGGAACGCGCGGGTTATAAACGTATCGTGTGGAAACGTTATGTAATAAAAATACTTTATTAACAATCAATCTGAGCAAGCTAATTACTTACATTCGCATAAATAGGTACTGTCGATATTCTTATAATCTCTCGAGATAGTTGCACATTTTTACGCACACACATTCGCATTGCATACATCTACGCAGTAAAAAATATATATGTTTACATTACCCGCTATAATACTATCGTTACGTCTTGGACGTGTGTTAAAGTTTCTTTGTATAGTAGCAATTAATTGAGAACCGACGAACTGTCCTTCACGCTGCGTCGTTTTAATGCCTTGTTTGTGGATCCTCTTCCAGTTTCCGCCAAACGACCTGGAAACAAAGACGATTGATCGTGACGTCGGGGAAAAGCGCGTTCCGTCACTTTTCGTGCGAAAGTATTCGTTTGAAAAAAATTGTTTGAAAAAAAAAAATCATTCGAGAACCGATTACTTACATTGCACATTTCTCTGACCAGCGCCTTCTCCCCGTCGTGACCTTCCTCTCTTTCCAGCTGTTCTCTGACTTCGAGAACCTGAAGAGCGCGCACCACCGCCTCCGGTCGACTTCCCAGATGCGCGTTGTCGTTCGGACTCGCGGGACTGTCCCACACCTCACCCGGAGTTACTTCCCAACCTTGCGCACGAGCCTGGAGAACGCTCTTGTCTTCCTCCAACTGCTTCACCCGTTGCTCCAAACTCCTCACGTACTGCATCGTTTGATCTGCAAAACATTCCGCGTTGAAACGAACGACTAATATTGACGTGTTTATTTTTCCCACGTACGTTCGTTAGAATACTTTTAATATTAAAACTTTTTTTCTCTCTTCCGTGCGTTTAGAGCGCGTAAAACAAGACTATCATTTAAAAAGTAGCTTCTCTTTGGATTGTATTTTATTTTTTTTTCTATTTTACGCGCAAACTTTGCTTAGTCATGCAACATTGTAGCCTTTTCTTCGAGTCGATTTCTTTTGCGATAAAAACCGATTTTCGTTTATTCACGTGAAAGAGATAAGAAACGAGAGAGTCAATATATATTTTTTTTATCTTCTAGAGTTTACCGTTAAATGTCGAAGTGTGCCTCGGTCTCGGCAGCGCGGTCTCTTCGGCGTTTGTGCTCGAGCTCGATCCGTCGCCGTCGTCCCTTTGACCACCGCCGCGCTCCTCGTCGAGATACAGACACAGTTCCTTGAGCTCCAGATTGTCCTTGATCAACTCCTGCTGCTTGTTGTCCAGCTGGCGCAACTTGTTCTGATAAGCCGAGACCTCTTGTCGCATAACGCTCACCGTGTAACGACCGAATCGTTGCCACTCGCGCGCCAGCTTGCGACCCTTTTGTCGGTCGTCGTCCAAGAAACAGCAGAGATCGCGCAGTTCCTGGTTATCGTCGTTCAATCTTTGGTTGGCCTCCTTCAACGCTCGCAGCTCATTCAGCTGGAAAGTAGATAACTCCCATCACTTCACACTCTTTTACATTTTCTTTAAAAAGAGTCGTTTTCAAAGTTTGCAATAAAATCATATTGAATATTTTCCATACGTGTAAGATATAAAAAATTAATTTGATTTTTATTAATTTATTTAAATTTAATTTAATTTATTTCAATTATAATTGCAACAATTAATCATACCGTCGGTTAACAATCAGATGACAATTGAGATTTGTAAAACTGCTCTTTGAATTCATAAAAAAAATTAAATAAAAGCCGTTCGAATGCATCAAAGTCCTTCGCATAATATCAACTTTGTTCGTTTATATTTATTTTTTTTCTGCGTGAGGAGAGGGAAAGAGAAAGACACGGGCACTCCTTCCATTCAGGAATATCTTCTACATTATTAATCGGCGCGCCTGTATCCCGAGAAAAAATAACGGAGTCACTGATCTCTCAAATGTGTGAATGGCGTATTCGCGAAACGCGTCGATTTTTACCACCAACAAAAAAAAACAAAGCTTTTTTCTCGCTTATTCATCACGCGTGTACTACGCGATACGACGTGCGACCAATTCACGACCGTGCGCAGTTTCGATGAGAGGTCGTTTATTTCGCGCCGACCCAAGAAAACCGATTGTCCTCGATCGTTTGTGGTTTATCTCACGTGTATGCGTGACCGTCTGAAATTACAGCGACGGGGGGTTCAATTCTGTATGACCTACAAGTGCCTCTCTCGAAAAACTTCCGTGTTCGAGCGCGTTCAGGATTTCAAGGACGGCAGAGATGAACGTTTTGCACGTCCCAAAAACGCAAAGAGAAATATTACCGCGATTATTTTTATCGACGCGACATAGATTACGATATTACGCCGCGTTAAACAAAGCGAAAATGATGTATATATATTTCGCGCAACAGTTGCGAGAGATATTCGTAAAGTTAATGACTTCGAATGGAGGCTAATTCGTCAGACGAAACTGTTTCATTCACAGAAGCGATAAAAAACGAGATCTCTCCAAATAAAAAATTATATAATGGAACGAGAGATGAGTAATTATCTAGATTGCGGCGCGTTTCACTTTTTTTCGTTTCTGCGACAGTTTTTCGAATCGCGTGCTTTCTCATATAATAAAAATGCTGACGCAACGTGTTGCGTGTAAGTTACAATTTTTATATAATAATTAATAATAAAAACTAAAGGAAAGAGAATTTCGACTAAATTAAATCATGTGCGTCGTTTATGAATATTTGAGGATGTATCGTATAAAAACATCTTACGTTAATTAATTTTTATTTTTATTAAATGTTAAAATATTTTAAAAGTAAAACATTTTAATATTAAAATAAATAATATTATATATATATATATTACATTTTAATATTTTATTAATTTTTAATTATATTTCTGTTTTTTAATTTTTAATTTATTTCTGTTATTTTACGAATTGGCTCTTTGCGCGTTTTTACAATGTTACTGCTAAAAAATTACACATGTAAACACACTTTAGCATCCACATTCTTCGTGTTACAAAAAGATGCGGAAACTCACCAAGGTTTGTATCTGACGATGCTGCTCGGCGGCGAGCCTGGCGATGTCACTCTCGGTCTTTCGCACGAACTTGAGCATCTCCACTGGACCCAGTCGCAGAAATTCGTCGTCGCTGATCCTCTGTCTGACCGGTGCGTTCTGGCTGCTGCTTACCGCCGGATACTGACTGCTGGGCGGCAAGTACGGGCCCTGACCGAGCTTAGGTTGTTGGAGGTAGTTTGGTAGTTGTTGTTGCTGCTGCTGATTCTTTGCCGCCGCGGACGCGGCAACGATCAGCGCGTTACCCGGCTGCGAATGATGAAGATGGTGCTCTATCCTCGGCGAGTACTTGCCCTGCTGCGCATCCTTCGGCGGTTGCTGCTGCTGCGCTTGCTGCTGCGCCTGATGCTGCTGCGTGTGATGCTGCGACGCCAAAGACGGCGGTGGCGGCGGCAACGTACGCGGCTGAGCGCCCTGATGATGATTCAAGGTCGCACCCGGACCTTGACTGTTACCCACTTGGGCCGCGCTCGGCGCCGACGTGGTTCCGCTGGCAAAGTGAAGATGATTCTTCAAAATTCCACTGGTGGGCGGCGGTGGCGGCTGGTAGCACGGCGGCAACTGGTCCACTGGCTTGATCACGTGCGAAGGATGATGCTGCTGCGGCTGTTGATGCTGCGGCTGCTGCGGCTGCGGCGGCTGGGACTTACTCTTATTGGACATCGCGGCTAATTTAGCTCCAGGCTGCGCCGTGTCCCATTTCAGAAAGTCCACCGTGGCCTCCTCGTGCCGGTTCAACCCGCCGAAATCTGGGTCAGCGCGCGGTCTCTCACGAGCGGCGACGGGCCCGGTCCGCGGTACGACCGGCCCCGTACGATACATACGTCGTCGTTCCCTTCCCCGGACCTCGCCTTATCACCGTAGGGGGCCTCACTCGCGCGCGCGCTACTCTCTCAACGGCCGACTTCTTCCTCCTCTTCTTCTTCTTCTTCTTCTTCTTCTTCTTCTTCTTCTTCTTCTTTTTCTTCTTCTGCGCCTCTTTGGCTCGTTCCACTCTTCTTCTCCGCGTCTATATCTTTTTTCGCGCGCTTCTCGTTCCGAGTGCACCTGCCAGCGGCGCCTTACTGTTGCGCGCCACGGTTCTTCGACTTTTCGTATCTAATCTTCGTCGGAACATCCAGCGAGAATCATGTCGTGACGCCGTCATGAGATTCAGATCCGTATCGGATAGTTAATTAACGTTCTATACGTGTTACACACAGATCCGGGAAGAGATAAGCGATTGAGTCAGGTGTGACTTCATCCGACAACCGATCAGAAATGAAGAGCAATCGCACCCAAGTTGGTTTCTACAATATTGTACATAATCGTGATTTTTACAGAGCATCTCGTCTTTAAAAAAAAAATACTATAAATCACGTCATAATTTCAAAGTCAAATCATCGTCTCGGAATACTCAGCGTTCAAATGTACTTAAAGAATTCCAGATATTCACTTTCGGGATCACATTCACCGCGGCGCGATATCGCTCAACACTCGCGTCAGCGTCATAGTCGGACAATTCCGGCCTTCGGCGTTCAACTTAAGTTCATGTTGCTTACAATCGACATACCAGTTTCTCTCGTATACTAATGCCACAAGTAACACCAATTCCCCTCTATCGGCGTCTCCGATCTCTCTCTCTCTCTCTCTCTCTCTCTCTCTCTCTCTCTCTCTCTCTCTCTCTCTCTCTCTCTCTNTCTCTCTCTCTCTCTCTCTCTCTCTCTCTCTCTCTCTCTCTCTCTCTCTCTCTTTCTCTCTCTCTTCCTCCAGCTTTATCACGGAAAGAAGTATCTTTCGTTTCTGTGTAACTCTCGATGAGTCACTAATTCTTTTCTACCAGCATTTACGCGTCTTTCATAGCATCTCTTCCCTCGTGCTCTTCTCCGGAATGTAATAGAGATCCTGAATCGCACAAACGCACACGCACACGCACACACACACACACGCGCGCGCGCGAATCACGGCAATCCCCTCTCTATTCACGCGTCTCTCGTTAAAGAAAAAAAGACTCTTCTCTTCAGTATCAACGAAACGAAGTTGTGTTCATCTATCAGCACCACACGAATTTTGTACTTTGTTAACATCCACTATCGCATCAGAATGTAATCGGTGGCAAATGGAACGCGAGTTCCGTTCCTTCTTATCGTCATTAATTCGCAATTGCGTCTCACGGAAAGAACACTCCACCTTGTCAATTCGTTTAAACACCTTCGCGACGTTTTTTTTTTTTTTTTTTTATACGCAGATAGTCTCGGAGCGATTCAATCTCACGTAGCTGTCATCCTGGCGTCGCCGAGTCGACGGCGGGAAGCCCGTCGCTAACTCGCGACGTGTCCTCAACTCGTGATCGTGATCGTGGTCGTCGTCGTCGTCGTCGTCGTCGTCGACGTCCCCCCTGGCTTCCCTCCGGTATCCCCCAGACCCGCGGCCACGCAGAAAGCGCGCATTCCGCGCTGTCAGTCGATCGCGCTTGCTGCCAACTGCGCGTTTTACCTGAGCGCAGAAACGACGAGAGCTCCGATCCCGCTCCGTCGCTCTTTACCTGTCTCACGACGAGGGCCTTACCGGTCGCCGCAGGACGACTGTGCACTCCGCGCGCCGCTGAAGCCCTGCCACGCTCGTTCGCTCTCTCGCTCGACGGCTGCCGCACGCCGGGTCCCCGTTTTTCTCGCCGCGGGGCCGCATTTCACGGGATGCTCAGTGCCGTATTCATCCGATCACTCGACCGGGTGAAACTCGCGAACGCCGTACGAGTTCACGAGACTCCGCCGCTTTCACGTGCTCGATTCTGAGAGTCCGCCGCGTTTTTTTTTTTATCCCACTCCAAGTGTTAGAGCTGATGACGATGTCTTCTTTTTATGTATCTTTCCTCAAATATTTCTCTTTTTAATCGGACTTTTATTAATGAACGGTGATGGTAATTTTTTCTTCACTCTTGATCAGTCCATTCTTCACTATGGGACGTTGGACCGGCATGCAACAGTTTCTCGAATATTCGAAAATCTCGACCGAGACTTTGTCTGTATGAAATCTCGTTCGACTCACACTCCGACACACTAACGACGTCTCATCCAGCAAAACTGTTCGATGATTTTGTTAATGTTTCCTTAAGATTCGGTGTGTATATAACTCGAGCGTGTTAAACTCCGCGTATTAACAATATGGCGGCCGCTCACAGAACGTGAAGTGTTTGGCGAACAACGCCAGGGCCCAACAACGTAAGACCCCGACGCGGGAACGCGCCGCAATCTCTCGATTGGTTCCCCAGAAAGGCGAAGGGAAAGGGTTGAAGCGTGAGCTCCGGAATCGTGGGAGGTTGTAAAGACCTGAGGTCGGCATGTAAGAGAGCCCCACGGCTCGTCCGGGGCCTAACAACCACGCGTCGAGGGGAGATCGATGATGATAAATGCAGGTACTGTGTGTTGCAATACGTTAATGCGAGCATGTATAATTAGTTGTTTAATGAGTTAGAGACATGGGCGAGGTCTTGATATCTTATGTTTCTTCTTTGTTTTCACTTGTAGAAGTACATTCTTCAGCAAAAGAAACTAGATAAATAGAGAGAAATTATTATTAAAATTATATGTTAAGTGTCAAATCGAAGATTTCGAAAAATAAATAAATCTAATTTGTTTGAAAGCAAACTTTCACGCCTACGAATCGAATTTTCTACACACGTTATGTAAACAAAATGATCTTGAACTTTTCTGTATTTTTAACATGCAATCTCGACGTTTGCGACAAACTCCCAGCAATTAAGAATTATTAATAGAGTTTTGTGTGTGGGATTTCTCCGTCGGCCTTTTCTCGACAAAAAAACGCTGATTCTGCCAACAAAGAAACATTAGCACACAAACGAAATTACCGGTCCACGTAATTCTCTCGTCTACGTGTTACGTCGATGGAAAAAAAAAGATGCTATTTTTGTCGAGTAATAGCCACATTATTCTCGTAACGTAATACGCATAATTCATTATTTAGCAACGAACGCAAGCTTGTTTCTTTCTTCGTTTCTGTAGCAACAATCACGTAAATATTGCAACTTGTCTTTTGCAAATGAGAACTGACTGATATAAACTTTTTTTTTGTTTAAAAAAAACAGAAAGTTGAAAAGCGAGCTAACGTGTTAGATATGTCGGTGTATGTAAAATTTATTACTTTTATTCAAGCAATAGTATCGTACGTATTTCGATTCCAATGTTTGGATCTTCTCATCAGAATGTAATTAAATAAATTAAAACATTAATCCAAAGATCAACGGCGGCAAACAATATGTGTAGAACGGTCGTCAATAAATAAAATTATCTTGGTCTCGAAATACATAATCAAAAAATCAACCACGCAGCATATGGAATGTCAAAATAAATTAGATAGTTTTGAACAAAAGTAATATATTTTACACACATCGACATCTCGTATGTATTGGCCTTTCCGTTTTCCAAATTTTTCACGAGCCTATTCAATTCTTCGTTTACTTATATAACGGCAAAAAAAAAAAAAAAGGTTAAAACTCTTTCGATTCGGTTCTTGTGTACCTTTTTAAATGGATAAAAATAAAAATTTTCGTCTGGTTGGCGGATTGCGTCGCACGGCAGGTGTTACTTTTCTTTTACGCTCTCGCGGCAGAGGTAATCTTCGAAAATATTCTACCTGCTTCTCTTCAGATACATTCGGAGAGATGTGTGCACCTGCGTTTTACGTCAGATGCCGGATTGTGTGACAAATGAAGAGTCCAGGTAAAATTCCGAAGCCGTCCCTTTAAATCCGGTTTGTCAATACCGAAATGCCGAAAAAAAAATCCGAAGTCAAGAGGGGAGCAGATGCCTACCGTGTTGTGTGATTCCATTGTGCTTTTCACACAGAGAAACAGTTTTATACAAACCAACCGGTGCGCGCGCGGCAGCTGACATATCCAGCAGGCGCGGATTTTTACCTGAGATGCATTACGTTGTGATTGTCCTGGCAAATAAAACATGAGTCATAAAAAACGGCTACTATATGTACGTTTTTTTAAAGAACTAGAACAAACAGTCAAATATCGTGTTAGAAACCAATATATAACCAACTCAATTTTTTTACGTAACTGATATTAGTGATTTTTTTTATGCAATTGACGTTAATTGATGATGGCGATCGATGTTGATCGGTACTCACGACAGATGCTTCTTATCGCGAGGCAGACGGTCTGAACCGGAAATACTTATCGAAAAAGATCAATTTTCTCTTCCTCAAAGTGACCAAGTGCGTTAGAAACGCCTCCGCAAAACGCACCCTCGGCGAATAAAACAGATCTGGTTTGACAATCGGTAAGAAGTTTACTCACGGTCGGTGGGGAAGAGAGTTGGTGAAGGTACCGAGTTCTATCGGCAGATGATGCGAGGGTGGTCGCGATACGGTGGTCGCGGCCAAGTTCACGTTGCGTGCGAAGTGGCGTGCACACATCTCTGGGGGGGTGAAAAACGTAACCTGCAGCAGCGCGAACGCGGAAAAAGAAAATCAATGGCCGGGACGAGGTGCGTCGGCGACGACGGTTTCAACGAGCAGATTTGAACGTTCTCATCTTCCGTGCGGCGAAGATCACGCGACAAAAAGATCGAAGAAGAGAGAATCTCGATCTCGCACGATTGAGGTTTTCCGCCGATTGTAATCACGAACGGAGCGGTAATTCGCCCGGGCGGTGTTACATCTCGGCTCGCGCGTGCCATCGGCCGTCCTTTAATCATGATACTCGAGAGCGCCAGCGTCCCTCCGCGATTTGGTAATCGCACCGAAAACGCTCGCGGCACAAAGGTCCAACGAAACCTACGCGCGATGTATCGGATCAGAGTCTGCAATCCGGACTAGACGCGATAAACAATGTGCCGGACGGACCAGGTAACCCTTTTCCTTCGTCGTAAAATAATATTTTTTTCCAAATATTGGCAATCAAACACATTTTGTTTTTTGTTTCTTTCTATTGCGGTTCATTAAATAGTCTTGTGCGCGCGTGTGTGAGAGTGCAAGCAGAAATACACAAAATCGAGATACGTCAGAAAAAACGACAATAAAAAAAAAAAAAAATAGAGAACACGTACGATTACTCTCTTCTATTTTTTTCGCACGACAATTTCTGATAAGATGTGATTTTTAATTAACACTCGGGGGAACACCGAAGTTATCTCGCGCGAATTATTAGTGAAAATTGAAAATATCTGTGTTTTCGTTATCTACGCGCGTTATCAAGAGGAATATTCGAGAGATTTCGCGAATAGATAATACATTTATGTGCCTTCATTTTTTTTTTTTTTTTTATTTCTTTTAGTGGGACTGTTTTAAATAAATTATAATTCAGCATAGCGCGGAGGTAAGGACTAGAAGCACGACATCTGTATTATGTACGAATCGAGAGCTATATATTCAACTACTTGCGTTTGCGATAGAATGCGTAGTACGTGTATATGCAGATGATCTAATTTCGGAGCGCAGACGCCTTTCCATGACCGTTCTCGAAGTGAAGTTACGTCACTTTTCATTATAACATTCTGGAAATAATTTACGACGCGCGGGAGTGACCTTGCGATTTTTGTGCGAGCATTTATGTAGTTCCATTGTTCTCACGTTTAAATGCCGAACACAGCTGTCTGATTAGGATTTAGCAATCAAATACTTAATCGCTTTGATATTGCGCACGAGAAAACTCGTTTTATTTACATGTAGTTAAAAATAAAACGCAATTTCTAATTGTTATTCGCTCGCTGAATCTGGCATTCATCAGAGAATTGTGTTCAACGAACGGGGCATTTAAACGCGAAACAATCGAAATATAACGCGAGAAAATTAATATATTAATTGTCATTAATTATTTAAGTAATTGTTATATCAATTATGTATATTTATTTAAATATATAGATAAAGCGAGTCGCGTGATATCGACTCGTTATTCGCACGGTTTTTACTTTGAAAAACAAATGAAATTTTTTTGCAAAACTCTCTCAATGTGCGATTTGCAATGTTTTTACGTCGATCAATTCGGCATCAATTATTGTTCGGCTTATTATTAAGTAATAATTGTTTAAATATTGTTCTTTCCGGTATATTTTGCTTGATTGTCGCGAACAAAGTTTAATGATTATCAATTAATCATTAAACTTTGATTAATCAGTTTAATGATTATCAATTAATCATTAAACTTTTAAATAACGAATATTGTTTATCTGGCTCTATGGTGAGAATTACCGGCGTTGCGCGCGGTAACAAACTTGGCTGGCGTTCGAATGCTGGTTGTCGACCAAATAATAAAAGAGAACATCACGAAAACCTTGCCCCGCATTAAAACGGACGAGCGTATAATTTATCGCCACTTGGAAGTACATTTCCATTTACATTAACATGTGGAAACATGTTTGCTCTAAAGCCCAATGATAACGATCGTTTCCTCTCTTTCTTTCCCCGTGTTTCTATGTGCATCCTCCTCGTCTTGTGTCGAGAAAGTTCGATAACTCGAGATCGTTAATGCTATATTTGTAACGAGCATTTCGTAATACGTGATAATAATTTTTGCGATTGTGTGTGAAACACAACACGAAGAAATTCGCGATTCGATAGAAGATACACACACATGCATGTACACGCGTAGACGATAGTCGCACGCGATCTCTCTCTCTCTCTTTCTCTCTGTGTCAATTCATCTATTGCTGATAATAAGTATGTAAAACATCGCTTTTTCATTTCGATAATTATTTGTGCGACAACGCTTTATCTTATCTCGCGATAAAAACAATATTCTTGCGCAATATCACTTTTCCAATCCGGATCACAGTGAAAAATCACGGCTCTCTTCGCTTGTTTCGATTCAATTGTCCAATCGATTGTGTGATTTTCGAATTTGTGCGTCGAATCGAAAGATCGATCGGATGCGCGTGTTCAATAAGTTCGGTCAAATTTTATTATTCTTAAAAAATGCGACGTTCTGTGTCAAATACACCGAGATGAAGTTCGGTCGAATTGGAGTTTATCTAATCTTACGCCGTTTTTTCACAGAAAAAAATCCAATTGGTGTAAAAGAATTATCATAGCTAGCGAAGCAGCAGCAGCAACAGCCTTTTCGGAATGCGTAATAGTTCTTTAACGAAGAAACAAAAAACCACGATCTCTTATCTCAAGTTATAGATATCGGTTCTGCGTTCTACTATGGCGTCGTTGTCAATAAATCGGTCTGTTGCGTTCGAGATTTGGCCTTGTCTCAATCTCCGTACAAACAACGAGATCATCGCGCGCCATCGTTGCTCTTCGGGTTGTCTAATTTCAAGCCCAATTTTGAAGCCTCACCAAGTTAAACCGGTTGTTAAACCGTTTTTCCATGTGAAGTGAAGAAAACAACACGAGTAGTTCAACAGTAGTAGTTTCTACTACTACGTCGCGAGAAAAAAAATAGAGAAACAGGGTGTGTAAGGGTGAGGCTACTTAACTTTGCATCGTATCCTGGTCTGTCTCTTTATTGATGTCGCGTGTAAGTCGGCGTTGATCAATATGAAAAAGAGCCGCGATAAATGTGATGTGGAAATGATATATATCGCGATGTAACACACCGTAACGCGAGTCTCGCGCAATGCGAAGTGCGCAATAAGCTTTTTTTTTTTTCTGCTTCTGACAAATGATTAAAATCTCATCAGCATTTAATGACGACGCGAGTTATATGACCAGGTCGGAATAATCGCCGATGTATTGGTCAAATGTTTTTTTTTTTCGGAACTTGTTTTGAGATATATATTTCGAAATCATATTTATTTATAAAATACGAACAACGTTTTTTTTTATTTATTTAATATTACTCACTCTTTTGTCACTTGATATCTGACTCATCTGTCAACTAGAACCAATGTCAGATAAGACACGCTCGTGTAAAACTACGTAATCGTTTTACATGCCGACGCTTTCACTTTGCAATTACACGCAAAAAATGTGTAAAATTTTTCCCAACGTATCTTTTCAAGAGTTCGATCTCGATTTTGTGCAAGCAACTAACTCTGTCAATGTGCATATCTATCTAATAAATAAATTTCTTTTTCTGTCAATGTGCATATCTATCAAATAAATTAACTTATTCATTAGGCTCGCGAAAGCTATCGCTATTTGTCACTTAGAGGTTACGTGTGTGTGTGTGTGTCATTTTTTGTGCATGTCACCAATGCACGATCCTGCCGTGTACCATGACGGTCGAAGGATTGATATCTCGCGGCTGCAATCGCTTCGTGAAATCGCCATTCATCGCGGCCGGCCTTCAAGATACGCGTTTGCTTCCGCGGAAAAAGCGGATCGCGTGTAGCGTCCACGCTTCAGTACGACGCCGACCGTCGCCGGATGAGGATCAGCTGTCAACGCGAGCGATACAGGACAAACTGGTCGATCAGCACACACGGTTTCCGCGCTTCGTCAGCTGCCAACGCGCGCCAACCGGCGAGCGGCAGGAAAGAAGAATCGACTGTCACGAGATTCTCTTCTGGAAAAAAAAGAAAAAAAAAAAAAAAAAACAGGTACACGTACGTATATTAAAATGTGCGTTTTTTTTATTTATTTAACGCAGTTTCTCTTCTTTCGCGCGCGATTTCTTTCGACGTTTTGCGCGGAAACGTCGCGGGTAGCAATTTTACTCGCTCTATCGATTCGCAATTATATCCCGTCTGAATAACGGAGGACGCATGGAGAAATGGCAGCTTGATTGACAGGTGAAAAATCAGAAGGAAATGGAAAAGGCGTGTTTGTTCGTGTGCGCGCGCGTGGTGAAACTTTCTAAGATCGTCGAGAACAGCGTGACGTGAGTAGCGTATCACGAATCGAATATTGAAGGAAAGTACTTAATTAGAGATGTAACGATATGTATCACACGGAAAAAAAAAATTTGAATTTCTATTCGGTTTACGTACATACGCGCGCGCGCGCGCGCACACACACACACACACACACAATACACACATAGGAAAGAAAACAAATTTTAACGAGATGGTTTCTAGCGAGAGAAAAAACACGTTTCGCTCTGCATTTTCGTGAATTAAAAATTTTCTGAACATTATTGACGCGTGAGCGAATACACGTGCCGCAATTTAATAACATTTGCCCTTTGGAAACTAATATTGTAAAATCGTAATGGCGGAAACTTTAGCACCGCGCAAACTGTAATTTGTCATCTGTATGTTCCCAACGTAGGATATATTGTATTAAGATCGCGCGCGCGCGCGCGCGATTACGCGTTAAAAGACGTTAACAAAAGAAATTCGTTATCGAATGTGTCTCTTTGCGAACAAAACTCTCTTTTGAAAGATGCGCTTCTTCCT